GAGACAATATGAAAGGCACTATGTCAAATGCAAGCATTGCTACTTATCTATCATTTATGTCCTTAATGTAGTCCTGTCAGCAGAATTGCACACAAGGGAGTCAGACCCGTGTACTACACTGGACTTATACTCTAGCCATCTACCAAGTACCCACCCCTCATACCCTCTCCCCTCACCATGTGTACTAGGTTAGCTGATCTTAGCTGAGGACATGGTTATACAGATGGGGGGTTCAGAAGACATATGCTCCTAAACTCCGGAACTCCTTGCCTTTATCCCTCAGCCTCAACCTCTTGCCTCGGCGCCTGTGGTCACCTCCCCCCCTCCACCACCATCCCCCTGCCTCCCCGCACCACCCCACGGTTTTGTGTCGGACCCTTCACTGTGCAACTCTAAGACAATAAAGACACTTTCGCCCCATTGGTACCAATAAAAAGTCACACCGCAGAGAAGAAGGTGATGGGTAGGAGGGTAGGAGTAGTGGTGCGGAGATTGTAGGAGAGTGGGGGAGAGGAGTGGGGGATGGGAGTGTTGGGGAGCGGCGGGGAGTGGAGGGGGAGTGGAGTGGGGGGAAGTGGCGGGTGGTGGTGAGGAACAAATCTATCTGCTCCCCCCCAACCCCCCAATTTTTTCCCCCTGCGTAGCTACAGTCACATATTGATTTTTAAATATTGATAATTCAGGAACGCAGAAGAGCCCGGAGTGAGTAGGAGATTGTGTTGGGGAGGGGGAGAAGGGGGAGAGAGAGAGAAAGCTGTTCAGCTACAGATTGAAATGCTTACAAAGTACTTAAGAACTGTCATTTGTTACAATTCTGGCAGAACTAATTGATTGATAGGGTATGACTAATGACTGCGCATATAAAGAGATTTCTTTATTTTACATGGGCTAAGTGCATTTATGTACTTTGATGTCTAAATGCATGCAAAAAAATCTCTCTATTTTTTCCCCTCACTGCAGACTCCTAAGTTTGTATCTCTTATATATAAACTCCTTATAACTCATCACTCCCAGGGAAAAGGGCTCAGTGACGAGATATCCATAGTGGCGAGTTACGCACGTGAATAAATACATATATAAATGTGGCTGGGATATTCACAGTATGAATGTCTTAAGTGGCAATGAGTTAAGCCAGGGTCGAGTTAACAGAAGTCTACTGTGTTATACTATTAATATCTCATGCTTTTGAAACAGTGACTTTTCACATCAGTGAGATGCAAGGATATGGGGTCAGAGAGGGAGAGTGGGACTATTTGAGTAGTTCTTTCAAAGAGCCTGCACAGGCACGATGGGTTGAATGGCCCATCGTGCCTGTAAAAAATGGGTCCTTTTGTAATATTCTATGTGTAGAAGCACTTCACAGGATTTTTACTGTGAACTGAAGTGAGTGTGCATTTGTGTATGTGAACCTGGCAGTTAATTTGAATGGGGAAAAAAAAGGTTTGTCCAGGATATTTTGACTGTTCTGTTTCTGTATGTCTGTCTCCCAGGTTTGGAATATGGAAGGCGAGGAGTGTCCAAAGTAATTCAGGAAGCTTACATGATCCAGATTTTGAACAGAATTCACCGGGCGTCAAATTTGGTTGCTAGTGCACAGTCACTACACTTTCCTGTGAAATCCCGTGCTGTGCTTTGAGATGCCTCACTAACGTGATAAGGAGCTGCATCAAATGCAAGGATTATTATTATCAATTAATTAATAATAATAAAATTCCCTGAAGGCTATTATTGTAACCCATCTTTTTGATGGTCTCTAACTTCTAAACTCCCCCCGACAGTGGAGACCGCATTTCCTTGCAAACTGGGGGTGGGGCGGTGGGAAGAGAATTGGGAGATTGACATTCAAACCCGGAGTCATTAATTGGTAAATAGATTAATTAGCGCTTGACCTGATGGCTGTTAGCCGCATTCAAAATGGTCGTTCCGCAACCAAACCAGCCGGGTCACGTGACAACTATTTTACTGTGAGACATTCGCTTCTCTGAAATCCTTCTCTGAGGTTGCCAAACGTCTTAAGAAATTTGCTGCAGCATTGGCTATAAAGTTTCACTCTTTTTGCCTACCACAAACTACCAGTGAATTTTCACCAACATCCTCCCCCCCCGCCCCCCCGAAAACAAAACCCTTCGAAACCTCTTCCTGTCTGAAGTCCTGATAACACTCTGAAGATGAGCGCAGTCTGGTGACCCTGATGTGGGGAGAAGGTTGAACATTGACTCTGTTCATGTGGCACTTTTCAGAGCCGACAGAATACTTGACCAATTAGTTGAATTCTATCTCAACTCAATAGTTGTTTTTTCCCCATGTATGTTCCTGAACCAAACTTAACAAATGGCGGGACGTTGAGGGGGGGGGTGGGGGAAAGGAAAAAGAAAATTCAGACTGCGTTTAAGATTGAGCCAAATTCTGGACGCTCTAAAACATAAATAAGAATAAATCTGAATCCAGGTGGAATTTCTCCCTAATTGTTTTTCACGACCATTAATAATGACGAGCAGGGAGTAGTAAATTACGATATAGATTATTTTGTTATAGAATGAGTCAGTTTCCACATGGACTACCCCTCCCCTCCCCAGTCTGTACCTTTGAGCAGTGAAGCACTAAATTTGTCATTAGCGATTTGTTATTCTGAGTCCAGGCCTGAGTACTGATCATTGAGAAGGTGGTGGGTTCAAGCCTCCATGTCAGGACCTTCGACCTCACACACTCCGGGGTGATGTTCTCAGAGCTGGGGTTGGCGGGGCATTGTCAGAGGTGCTATCCTTTGGTTAGACTTTAAACCAAAATCCGATATGTGTCTGTTTAGGTGAACTTTAAAGATCCCACTGCACATTTGGAGAAGAGAAGTTTTTCGCTCACAATGCCCTGGTCATTTGCCTCATGGCTGTTTTCGGGACATTGCTGCGGTGTAAATTGGCTGCCATATTTGCCTACAAAATACACAGTCACTCCAATTTACAGTAAAATGCTGTTTAGAGCCTTGGGACATCCTCAAATTTGGAGGCATGAAATGAGCTGTACCAAATGCAAGGATTACTATTATATTTCTTAATATCCATGTTTCCTAAGTATCTATCTCTCTCTCTATCTGTCTCTCTCTCTCCTTCTCTGTCTGCTTTGGGACACACATCCTAAAGATTGATACTGAACTCCAGTTCTCTATGTGGTCTCAGCGCGTGATGAGACCAGGGGCTAACACTAGCCCACTTCTCCTTCTGACTTTGTCCTATTATAAGCACAAAACGCAAGCCAGCAGAAGCCAGACAGCGTGAGCTAGAGGCCACTGTCACCCAGTCTGCCGTGAGCAACGCTGTACACCCTCACCCTCTGATGGCAGAAACCAGTTTGTCCGCCTGTAAAAAACAAAAGGGAGCAAAGGGCAGCTTATCCAGCCTCTGTCGCCCCTCCATCTCACATCCTGCATGGGCTCCAGCTTGGCCCAGCTGGGAGCTTGCTTATCTCAGGGTCGGAAGGTTATTGGTTCAGGTCACAGCCTAGACAGCCACAGCAACCCAGCCGTGGCTGGGGATGGGGGGGAGATGGGGAAGGTCCTGCTTTGTCAGAGGAGTCATCCCCAATGGATGAGATGACACCTAAAACCAAAGTCGCCCCCCCCCTCCACCCCCATTCCGCCCACATTTGGGCCTGTCCTGGTCAATGTGTGAATGATCTTGTGGCCTTTCCCCACACCCTGAAAACAGAAGGGTGTTTCTCCCTAGCTCTAAACGGGCACCGGGTTTCCCCCTAAAATAAATCCCCAGTCACTACACTTGACGGTAGTTACTTGTGAAGTGTTTGAGACCTGTTCAAGACCCTATAAGAACCCAAGTTATTTTTTAACATACACAGACCCCCATCTATAGCAAAAATGTGCTTCACGTCCCTACTTTTACATTTAAACTGTCTGAGCAAAAAAAATTGCAATGCGGGGAAAATGCGCATTTATTCATTATTAATCGGCGAAGTTGGACATATAAAGATAATTGGACGTTTCATAATGTCAAGAGCTCAAAAGTATTCAGCAGACAGTCACTTAATCTTAGGCAATTTTCTAATTCCTTAATTTTAGTAACGAAATGGAAAGGAGATTAGATATGTGGTTGGTGGGAGGGAGAGGGAGAGGGGGGGAATGATCTGTTGCAGACATGTGTCATTAATTATTACAATATTCAAGCATTGCAAATTATAATAGAGCCACATGTATAATAAAGTCATTGAGATAAGTTTTTAAAAAAAATAGATTTAGGGTAAAAATAGCCGATTTTAACTGAAAAAACACTGAACTGACAGAAAATAAAAGGAAAAGAAACAACCGACCCACTGTCAACGGAATTTATTTTATTCTGAAAATAAATAAGGTGGAAAAAAAGGCAGCAATCGACTGATTAGGCTTTTCTGTGAGATTCTACTTATGATGTATATTATATAATAATGATATACTAGTGTCTGTTATATAACATACACAATATATAATAATGTATCATACAGGACATATAATAACATACTGTAGCATATATAGTGTATAAGATGTGCCGTATATAATACACTGCATGAGATGTATTATAAGGAATGCATATACTAATATAGATAATGACAATATATCATATAAAATATATTATTGTCTATATTATGTCAGGTGTATTGCATATAATATATCATGCAAGATATATATTGCATACAGTGTATATAATACATAATATAACATATTATAACAACATATCAGTGGATATATTATATAATACGTTGTATGCAATATAAGATATATTACATATAATAAACGAGAACAGCACGGTGATGGATTGACAGCCCACGTGATGGCGCCATATAGGAATTCCGTTCCTGCTTGTTACCAGCAGAATATCTCTTGACACTAGCTAACGGTAAGCTACCTGGCCTAGGACCTGGAGATAGGAGCCATGAGCTCCAGAAGGGAGCGGGAGTGTTGCGGAGGGGTTGGGTGGGTAGGTGTGGGGTAGTAGGCTATGGTGGCCGTGCCTCACCTCTGGGTGTTGTAATCACTGGACGATGGTGATGTGTAAAAGCTGTTCGAGGGGAAGAGCTCAGCGATGGCGTGGGGCTGCTGAAACCAGACTTCTCTGACTTCTTTAATGTAGTAGGCGATGGCATTCCTGGCAAGAATGATCGATAAGGTGCAATTTTAATAATGCGAGGTCATGAAATAACAGCCTGTGAAATGTGGAAGGAAGGGAAAGGCTTTGGGTTGGGTTGGGGGGGATGAGGGGATGGAGGGGGAGGGAGGGAGGGATGATGGATGGAGGGAGAAGGGGAAAAGGAGAGAAGGCGGGGGGGAAGAGAGGAGAGGGGTACAAAAAGCAGCGTGAAGAGGTGGGTATTTTGTTTTGGAGAGGGTGGGGGGAAGGAGGCAGGTCGAGAGGACAAAGTGGGAAAGAGGAGACTGCAGAGAGAGAGAAAGAGAGAGAGAGAGAGTTAGGCAGTGCAAAAAAAAGCGTTTCTGCATCATTCACGTTTTTTTTTAATAGCAGCTCAGCATGTTTACTTAGCAACTCCGAACAACATTCCTTGTAGGTTAATAATAGAGGGAAAGAGAGCACACATGCAAGAAAATGAGCTGAAGGATGGCCTACATTTATAAACCGGTGCTGTCCTGCCTGCCCTCGGCCTGTGTCGGGGACTATGGAGGAGGCGTTGGGATTTGCTTGGAGTGGGGGTGGATTGGAGAGTGGGGAGTGGGAGAGGGGGGTGGGAATGAGAGAGAGAGAGAAAGAGAGAGAGGGAGGGTGGTGTGGTGAAAATGCCAGGAGTGTCAAACTTCCAGAACTCACACGAACGCACCGTTCAACATCATCGATTGGTCGATGATCCCAGTGTGTTTCTCTGAGGTCACCCACCCCCACCAGCTCCCATCTCCCCTCCCGCCCACCATCGCCTCCACAAAAATGCATTACCGAGGAAGCCAGGGTCATTGGGTACCACAGCGCATCTCATTTTAACACAAAGGGCCTCGATGGGCTCATTACATCTCTACGACGTGTAGAGCTAAGGTAATGGGCTGCTGCTTGTGCCCTGTTCTCTCCGCACTACCATCGAGTCTTCAGTTGCCACCCATAAATTCTGGATCTCCCCGCCTCTCTCACCCTTTCTATCTCACCCGCCCTCTCTTTCTGTCATTAGATCCCACCTCCAAACCTACCTCTTTGAACGCTCCTGTGGCCAACTTCCCCCCTCCCTTCTTCATCCCTTGCTCAGCGTCCAACCCCCGTGCCTGTTAAGCGCGCCGAGATAATACCCCACGTGAAGGGCGGTGTATCAATGCAAGTTGTTGTTGTTGTGCTTGGCAAACTCGGTTACCCAGTGGTAGGCGATGCAGTTAGCCACGGCATGTCTTTCGCGTCAGACACGCCCGCACGCACCTCACACGCGCACGCAATGCACACAAGGCACCGTTCTTCACGGTTGTGCATCCGTGTCTCTTCAATCCTCCTTCCATTGCTGATGGTGACATCGCCGGGTATCCCCGAGTCACACACACACACACCCACACACACACAGTCAGGCACCGGACTCCAAAGTTCCCCAAGTCCAGTGTGTGGTGTGTGACTGGGTCCCACAGTCGGGCCAAGGTGGGACGGGGGTGGGGGTGCATGGGGGGGCTGTGGGGAGTCTCCAGCTACACAGTGATTCCTAATGGGGATTTCCTGAATCCCTTCCCCTCACCCACAAACGCAGGACCGAGATTCCTCACAACTCACCAGTGAAAGCAGATATCCCCCCGGGGAGCGCCACGGAATTCCTTTATGGGTGTCCTCCACATGTCAGCTGCCTTCCTCCCAAGTGTTAAGGCTGTAAGGGCTGTCCTTTAACCCCCACCCCCCTCCCGAGGCAGGTGCTGTTTTGAGACTTGCGCCAGCTCCTCTGCATCAGCCTCCATTTCTTTTGCAATCAGTGTTTCATGAGCAAACCCCATCGAACAAGGATCTAAGCTTCAAAGGACCAAACCCATTGCTTGGGACCCTGTCTCCTCCTGTCTCCTCCGTCTGTCTTTCACTCCGAGGTTTCTGCCCAACCCCCTCCCCCTTCCTTGTCTCTGGTCTACCTATGGTTAAAATTCCCCGGAATTAAGCGGGGTGTTGTCCCTCCCTTCCTCCCTCTGGGGGCGGCAGGGATGGATGGGGGGGAAGTGGGGTGGCTGGAATAGGGAGAGAGAAAGAGAGAGTGTGGACATTCCATTTCAATGCTATTCCAGACACGGGGAAATTTCCATGTGTAGTTGGTGTACATATCTGGATCTCTTAGACGGATTCAGATACTCTCGAAGACGGTGGTGGGTTTCCGAGTGATCAGACACACGGCTGACCGTAAAACATTTTTTAAAAAAGAATTCCTCCTTAAAAAAAAACTAACACGGAAGAATTTTGGTCCGAGAGAGAGAGAAAGCAAGAAAAAAAATTGCATTTTTGGACAACATAATTAAATAACGGGAAGAAAGAGTTAATTACTTGAATGCAAATCTGCCGACTTCAGGTGGGTGATTCTGGAGTGTGTGAGATCACTAAAGGAACACATTTTCACATCTGGAAAGAAAAGAACACAGGCAGCACAGAGGACGGGAGCACTTTTTATTGTTGTTTGTTTTTTCTCTTTTTTTTTACCCCCGGTCTTAATTTCTATTTTTTTTAGTTCTGTTTCAGTTCACCTGAACATATTTATCTCTACGATCGTAACTGAGTGAAGGAAAATCATCAACAGATGGAGTTTGACGCTTTATGTGGCATTTTGACATGCGCTCGACCGGCAGCCATCTTGGTTTTGTCAAATGAAAACCAACGGATCACTTGGGTCAAGTGTTTGAACCGTACAGATGGTGAAAGGCCCTAGTATTGGACGTCCGATCATTTGACCTCCTAGCCATTGGGGGTGTTGTCCTTCATGCCACCCACAACCCTGGAATTGGGGAGAGACTATGAGGCAGTGAGCCCTTCTTGATTGCCACCCATCACCCACCTCCCCCATAAATGGACGGGCGGTGGGGGAAGCGGGGACAAGGAGCTGGGCGGGAGGGTACGGTGGGGGAGGAATGAAGACAGGGTCAAGCTTGGCTGTAGTGGCCTGACCATCCCATTCACTACTTCCCCAACACTCAGGACCTTACATGAGCAGATGAGTTAATGGTCACTTGAGTTACCCAGCAGAAGGCTAAAAAGGAACCGAATAGTTTAAGGAGAGAAGGAAAGGAGGGGGTGGGTGGAGGCACGGTGAGATAAGAAAATAATTGTGGCCAAAACTATCAAAGAAAGTAAAGTCTTGATAGGCTTTACTTTCAGAAAGACAAGCTGGTGATAAATATTCAAAAGGCAATGTTGGCTACAGTGAAGGTTTTTTCCCCTCTCTCTGTGTACTTGTCCTCCTAACCTTATCAGGAATGGATAGTTAAGACTAGGATGCTAGAACTCACTTAAGAAACAGCTCGATGCTGTGATGGGAAGGATGGGAAGGTGGGTCGTGAGACTGGATTGGGGGATGAGATCAGTTGGGCCAGAGGGACCTTCTTAATCCATGATCTTGTGACCTTAAGAGTTACCTCTTGTTGCTGTGATGTTACAAACATACACAATGTAATTTTCTGGCAAAGGGCTGGGGAGGGAATCTCTTATGAATCACAATGGTGTCTCAAGACTTCCTGGTTGCAAACTTATGTAAGACCCTAACAAGACACTTTGGAATGGAACACACAATCGAGACATTGCTTTAACATTACCGTCAACACAACACTCTGTAAAATAGTTACACTTCACTTAATTACACTTACAAACTGTAAGCAGTTGGAGAACCAAGCCTAATTTCCTTCAACCCTGAGATAAAAGCCAACATTTCACTCACAGTTAAAATAACAAAGGCAAACATTTTTTTGTATTATTCAAAATCAGAGATGAACTCACACCTATTTTAGATCTCTCCTCCCTTGCCCCTTACTGCCAAATACACTGGAAACGCTGTCTGTTTACACCACGTGGCAGCAAAACTTAACACACGATTTACATGAGGCAGCAATAAGATTTATGGGAATGTTCTTTAGACAATGCACAAGCACATAAATAGCACACATGGAATCTATTAACGAGGTACATTGTTGGAGTTTAAAGTCTACATTGGAGCTCTTTAGTTAACCAGCAGATTGTGAAGGTCAGTACTGAGGGACAGAAATCTGCTGGGTGATTCAGGAACCAGCCAAATTGGATTGGGAGAATGGGGGAAGGAGAGTGGGGGGTGGGGTGTGGGAAGGAGATGGGGGGGAAGGAGACAAGGTGTGGGTTTCCACCTCTCCCATTAAAGCTCCAGATCAATCAATATCCTTCTCAGATTGTGCAATCTTTCTCAAAGAGAAAGAGCTCTGATCTCTTTTGTACATAACAAGAGGGACAGATATCAGAACCATTTGGTTCACAGGCCTGAGGACCAGATGGACAGGGCAATGAACAATACATGGAGGTATAAAGAGCATGGATACAGGCTTTCGACCAACTAGTGTTTATACTCTACGTCAGCCTTCACCCCTCCTTTTCCCAGCTATTCCCTTCTCCGACAACCCCCCAGATAAAATCAGTCGTTCACTTCATGGCTGTTTGTGGCTTATTGATGTGTGCAAACTGTCTGCCTCATTCACCCACAAATGCACAGTCACTACAGTTTAAATAATTTCTGTGAAGCACTGAGATGTAGGCATCAAACTGTCTTCGATACATTGATGCTTTTTGTCTCAACAGTCCCACGAGGGAGTTCCTTATTACGTGGTCAAAACATCTCATTGCGAAGGGATTGAGGACATTCATTTTCTTTTTGTGCAGGAGAAAGTTTTGCTGTTGGGTCTGGGGTTTTAGCTCAGTGTCTGGGTCTACGCTCAGGGCAGTGCTGGAGGAGTGCTGCATTGTCGCAGGTGGCATTAAGCGGAGGTGTAGTGGTGTGTTAGGGGTGCAGTGACTGAAAGCTCAGCCACCGATGATGTGGCTGTGGGTATCACACATGTAGATAACAGTGAGATCTTGCATCACCACAGTAGCTGAATTGGGTGCCTACTTATCTATTGATCTGGGCAAAATGAATAAGGGGGTGGGGAGGGAGTTCTGACAGGCTCCTTGCAAAGCAATTGATGGTCCGTGTTTGCCAGCTTTTCTGCTCAGACAGCAAGATTGCTTTTCTGTTTAGAAAACCAAAACAAAATCACAAAGTAACTCCGCTGCCTTGATATCTGAGATGACTTTTTTTATTTTATTTTCGTGCAGGAGGAAGACTCGTTGTTGTCCTGGGGTTTCAGCTCACTGTCCGCTCCAGCGCAGTGCTGGGAGAGCGCTGCATGTCGCAGGTGTCATCCATCAGATGAGATATTAAACAGAGGTCTCCGTCTATTCCTGTCCCACTCTGCTGCCTTCAACATCGTTGACCGCTCTATCCTCATTCACCCCCTCTCCTCTCAACTCAACCTTCATGGTTCTGTCCTTGAATGGTTCAGATTGTAACTCTCACACCGCCTCCACTTCATCTCCACAAACTGTTTCTCCTCTAGCCCCCGCACCTTCTTGTGTGGTGTTCCTCAGGGCTCTGTCCTTGGTCACCTCCTCTTAAATATCTATATGCTCCCTCTGGGTGGCATCATCCGCAGACATAGGGTCAACTTCTACATATATGTGGATGACACCCAACTCTATCTCTCTGCCTCCACCGTTGAGTCCAGGACCACTGCTGTCCTGACAGAATGTCTGTCAAACATCAAGTCCTGGATGAGAGCGAACTTTCTTCAGTTGAACGTCAACAAGACCGAGGTTCCTGATTGGCTCCCATCAGCGCCTCCTCACATCAGGCTCTGACATGGTTGCACACTCCACCTTGTTAAGCCAGGGATCTTGTTTGACCCTCAACTATCCTTTCTATCCCACATCTGTGCCATGTCCCTCTGCCTTCCTCCACCTCCGCAACATCGCCCGGCTCCGCCACTGTCTCACATCTAGAACTCTGCAGCCCGTGTCCTCTCCCGCACCAGGCTCCGTGATCCTATCACCCCCATCCTTGCCCAACTCCACTGACTTCCCATCGCACAGAGGATACAGTTCAAGATCCTGGTCCTCACCTTCAAAGATCTCCATGGCCTCGCTGCCCTCTACCTCTGCGACCTCCTAACCCTCTACCATCCTGCCTGCTCCCTCCGCTCAGCGGACTCCAGCCTGCTTCACATCCACAGGTCGCACACACCACCATTGGTGGGCGGGCCTTCAGCCACTCTGCCCCCACCCTCTGGAACTCCATCCTGTAGTCCCTCCGCCCCGCCCCCTCCCACCCTTGCCTCCGTCAAGACCCATCTCAAGACCCTCCTCTTCAACTGTGCCTTCGATCTCCCTGCTTCCCCCCCTGCCCTCAACCCTAACCCCAATCCGGGGCCGAAACACTGACTGTCCAGCTCCTTGGGCTGTCCTCCCGATGTGAAAGGCCCTATACAAATGTAATTCTGTTGTTGTTGTTTAGGCAGACGTTAAAGATCCTGTGGGGATTTATGAAAACAGAAGGGAGTGGGTCCGACTGTCCTGGCCAGGCAGACACAAAAGTGGTCAAAGTCTTGTTAATAATAACAATAATAATCCTTGTGTCCTTGCATTGTTCATGGCCATGATTCCAAAGTGAACTGGGTTTTACTCGTTCTCAATGCAGCTCCCTGGGAGAAGTCAAACCTGCCTAAGCTCCACTTACACCAGGGCAATGTTTGCAAATAGAAAGGCCCTGGAGAACATGGATTAAATGCAATATCAAATATCAAATTATTATTATTATTATTATGGCCTGAAAGAGGGGGAAATATAATTGTTTCCTACTCGTATCTGAAAGCAAATTTCAAATCGCTTCTAGCAGGAGGAAAGACGCTTGAAACTAAATCAGCCTGAGATACGGAGGTAAACTATGTCTCAGCCAACGTCTACGGTCACCTCCGCCTCCCCTTCCCCCCTCTCCAACTCCAACCAGACCACTGTACAGCTCTCTAAGAGGTTTGCCCTCTGCGACCTTGCCTTCGGTCAATCTCCTACCCCTTCCCTCCCTACCCTCCCCTGCCCCTCCCACGCACCTCCTGATCCCAACCACCAACTCGGGTGTGGATCCCTGACTGTCCAGCGCCTTGGGACGTCTTCCTGACGTGAAAAGCGCATAGGAAATGTCATTTGTTGTTGTTGTAAAGGGCACACACTGTGTAAATGCAAGTTGCTGTGACTTGGGTCAGTGATCAATGGCCATCACAAGTTGGGTTAAAGGCTTCACAGATGGGATGAGGTATATCAGGTCTATGGGAGGGAGGGGGAGTGCCGCAGATGATAAATATCACTTAAGTGGAGCTGCTTTGCTCCCTGACTGAGAAGCAATGCCATTAGAGAACGCACCTCTCCCTCAATGGGCTGAGTTGTGCGGCTGAATGATGAATCCCTGCAACGGTTCTGTCGGCTGGAATCAAAGTGGAGCCGAGTCAGCATTTTCTCCCCAAACCTTATTACTGTACAGCGTTGGGTTTTATTTTTCCTACTACGTCTTCCACTTCGAC